CAGCGCCTTAGACCGCTCGGCCATCCTGACTTGTTGAAATTTGTTGAAATTTTCTTATATAATGAAATTACCGTAATTATAATAATTGTATGCTTTTAAATATTTATTTAAATATACCTTACATAATCAAATGTAATAATGTCATAATCAAATCTAAGTAAACCCCACTACATATCCACGAGAGACCTATGTTCAACATTTCTAAAATTTGTGATAGGCTGTATTGATAATATATATATATATATATTTTTTTTTTTTTTTTTTCTAGCGATCCATTCATCCAGTGATCTACTCAAACACAGACAAAAAATTTCATCAAAATAGATCCAGCCATTTTCGAGTTTTTGCGAGACTAAAGGGCAACAATTGATTGAGGGAGGGATATAGGTTCTATTTTTTTTTTTCAAAAAACTTAGACTTTTGTAAAAAATAAAACTAGATACAATAAATGATGAGTATAACATAACAAAGTATTATATATGAATCTACACATGTTTTTCAATATTCATTATCCTACATATCTTTCAAATAATTATATTCAATTCTCTTGATGACATGTTTAGAAGGCAGCACTTTCAATTTTCATGAAATATACTTTAAAATAAGTATTAAAACAGTCTAATATCATAATATACCTTGTGAAATTACGTGCTTCAATGAGACTTAAATTGGCTTTATCCCAAGTTCACAACATTGCATCATTATGAAGTTGTCAAAGTATAAATAAATGTATAATTGTAAGAAAGCATAGATAGGTTATAATTATCAGTGCTTGTTAGAAAAAAATTAAAATTAAATTTGGAAATCCAAAGTAGCACACCCAAAACGCTCATGTAATATTTTAAATAGATTACATAAGTGATTATCGAAATGAACCAGCTCTACATGATTCTGAAGATAGTGAAAAAATTAGATCATATTGTTAAGGGGATATAGTAAGTCAGCTCAAATTCTAATTTCGCCCCCACTTCCCTGCGCGTCGTATGCTATGTACCGACATGTTTGTAATTACTAATACTGTAAGGTAAGTAGATAGGTCGCTGGATACCTATTTCATTAGGTTTATCATATTTATGCCTGTTTCTTAACGCCAACCCAGTCGCTTCTTATTTTTATTAAGGTTATTTCCCATTTTAATTTTACGTCGTCCTGTTGCGTAATGTGTATTCTGATCGTAAGCGACACAACCTCCCCCTTCAAAGGCCGAAGCGAAACTGACCGGGCGGCAGGAATCAAGTTTCATTTCGCCAATAGTTTAGGTAGTTTCTTTTTACAGTGAAAATATTGGTATTTCAAAAAAGTTAATAACATAAGCACTGCTTTATAGTTAGTTCAGTTAGTATGCAAAGTTTCATGATCTTATTTAAAATATTTTACGAATAACAGCGGTTTATTGTTCAGTTTGGAGGTAACTTTAGATTTTTTTCCATCGAGAAAATTTTACGGAATCGTGTTTTCGTCTAACATAGTCCTTAACATTAATCCTCAACTTTAACATATATTTATTTCAAAATTAATGCTGCAATATTTTCGGCATAACGGAGGATCTTGCTAAGCCATTTGAGGTTATATTTTCCCTTAAATAGTTCCCGAGATATCTTGTAGAAATAATTTATGAACCGCAGACTGGACATCCACAATATAATTTTTTTAATCGGACTTAAGTTTTACATTGTACGTGAGGGTAATATGGTCACGCGGTTAACATGGTCACTTTCTTATAACTCAAAAACTACAGCCTTGTTTGCACACTCGTAGATGGAGGCAAAGCTCAAGGTGACCGTATTACCATTGCGTACCTTAATAATACGTGTTTTTGAATTTAAAAAAAATCCTGTTTCTAATCATGTGCCGCCCATAGCATATTAGTAAAATAATAAACACGACTTAATGTGAGTGAAACGAGTGATTTAAAAAATTTGTCAGCAGAATTCGCGTTCGATATGTGCAACCATTATCTAAATACACTGATTACAATTGACAAATTCATACGTGGTAGAGCCACGCTGCAGCTAATTTATGGTTGTAGCACGAATGGGTCGGCTCGACGGGGAAGGACGCTCTCACAGCATACCAGCATAAAATAGCAGCTTAATACTGCTGTGTTTCGTATGGTGAGTGTAGTCTGTAGTCCATCATAGTCCACAGGGGTGACAACGCATTGCATTTTGATTCTTAATCGAGGATAAATGTTGATATCTATGGGCCACAGCAACCACTTACTATCAGCTGGACTGTGTGCTCGCTTGTCACCAGTGGCGAAGCTAGAGCTCCAAGCTAGGGCAAGCCCAAGATATAAATTGATAAAAATATATATTGTTGTTTTTATCAGTTTTATAAAAATACACCAATCTTGATCTGTCTCCACGCTTCAGTTTCATATTCAGTGCTGTCAAGGACGTGTTTAACAAAGCACACAGAAGGCATACCACTGCTAATAGATTTTATTACATATCAGCAATTGCATAGCTTCGGTGGCTTTGAACAAAGCCGTTTGGGTTTGTTTAAGCGAAAGAAAAAAAATATTTACATTCAATGCAATACATGAACAAAAGTAAAACACGAACAAAGTACAAACTATGTACAAAATTAAAAAAAATATATTTACATTCTAATGGATAAGAGATAAGATAAGATAAGTGGAATCGTCTCGCTTTCTTATGGAAAGATTTAATTACGTCCACGTAAAATGTTGGTGAACGTTTTAATTGTACCAATAACTGTTTTTAATTGCGATTTGAGGAAATACACTCTTAACCTTGTGTATTATCTCAACAAAGTTTAAAGATTTCCTCTCCGATTATCACTTTAACACACTTCAATTCACCACAAGGAACTCTATTATCCTCCATTTTCATTAAAAATCTTTAAAAAAGCATAAATTTTGAACTCGTAATATTAAATCGCTTAAGATAAGCACATAGAGTAAATAAACATTGAAACGTGAAATGAACTTGCAAACGTATTGCCCGCGCGCCTCCGCTTTTAACAAATTTATTCCCAAAAGCCTGGCTTTACTTAAATCTCTATACTAATTGCTATATATATACAATCGTAGTTATATTTCATTATAGAATATTTTGCCATAGGTTAGAAAGAGAGCGATCGTCTTCTCGAAAGCCCCGTAAAAAGCCCACGCGAGAGAGGGAGACAACTATTAGCTCTATTAAAACTCATTTTTTATGACAGCAGCAGTATCGCTAAGGTAATACGAGGTCATCGGTCGACATGTGTCGAACAGTGGAGTGCGCGGGAAATTTGAAATAGCTTGAAACATTTTACGAGTTATTTTATTAGTTGATATTATTGATTGATTCAGGTTTAATAAGGCAAGCCCGGCTTTTCGGCTTTAATGGAAGCTTCTCCACTGCTTGACACCCTTATTCTATAAAAAAAATAAGATTTCATCCAAATCGTTAGAGCTGTTTCCGGAAAACCAATACAGGGTTATTTTGCAATAACCGGCCAAAATTGCAGTGAAGGTTCCGAATAAGTAATATAGGCAAATGGCAAAGAAAAATTAATTTAAAAAATCACAAACATTCTGTCCTTTTTATCTTTTAAAATCATAATTCGTGGTAATACATTATTTTAAGGTGATACCTCGAAAATTTGGTGGTTTTTTCTATTTACCATATTTTTTTAAGTTTTATAGATTAAAAACCAAAATTTTGGTATGTGATTTTTGACTATATGACCTAGGATTGCATAAAAGGAAAACACGATATCATGTAATTTTCTCGATAGAAAAAAATTGCAAAGTAGGCTCCAATTATTTACATTTCTCGATGACACCACAATATTCTTACGAATAATTTCATGGAATTATTTTTAAGGCATAGTAAATAATCATATCTAAGTTCTCATAACTATTTTTTTTTAATTCATAACGAAGTTTTGTTAAAATAAATAAAAATGTTGTTTAGCGCTTACTTAGTTATTTCCGAGCGCTTGCTCGGTATGGCTATCTCATAATTTACGTACTATGAAGTCATTGCATCACTTTCATTTTGACACTCCCGCAGTCGTCCGTTAGCTTCGCCGACAAAGGAATAAGCCACGCCCCCAAAACTTCGATTCATTTTCAAGGTATCCTCTTAACAGATTTTACTCTGTATGCACACGATCGTAAGAGTCGATCCGTAGGCAAAAACGTTGTTGCCCATAAATCACATTGAATTTGGCATAATTTTAAATGAAAGTTTAAACCTTATTTACTCGTATTTTTAAAAACTGCAATAACGGTATATCACTATGTATATATTTGAACTTAAGTTTAAAATTTGGCTATTCTTTGAAAAATAACCCTGTATATAAGCGCACATATAACATAATATAGGTATTATAATAATTGCTCCCATATAGCATAGGTAGCGTTTACAAAAGTTTATTAAATTATAAGAATTGAGTATACTCATCTTTTTATACACATTTCTAAAAATGCTTAAAAATATGGCGGGGAGATGCGTTATTGTAGTACGAAATACCAAATATACATAGCCATAGTATGCACATACTGATTTTTTAGGATTCAGGGGTGATAACGAGCACAGAGTCCACAAAATGGTAAGTGGATGCTATGGTTTAACAACACCATTCTCTATTATTTATCATTAAATACTTACATGCTTATCATTAAATACATACAATGCATTTAAATACTGATTTAACATATGCTCACCGGTGAAGGAAAACTTCTTTTCTAAGCAATAAAATACTTCGCCTACTAACTAGTAATCGGCAAACTATATTCTCCATAACTCTCTCAGAAGTGAGACCCAGTGTCTGTGAGACATATGTTATATGTTGTGGACTAAATGATTAACCTAACCTTTTATTCGTAAAAGGAACTTTTGAATCATAAATTCCAATCAATTTAATTATTTTAATTTTGTTTATCGTATGGCCTACTCATATTGGGCACTTTTCAAACTGTCTGGACAGTATGAATAATGCCTTTAATACTACACTTTCACTTTAATATTTTTACTTGCTTACAGCGTCATCAGCATTGTCCGATAAGGACGGTAAGGAGGAATGGGACCGGATAGTGGGCGGCACGAAGGCGCCCAACGGTTCTGCTCCGTACCAAGTGTCGTTGCGGTATTTCGGAACAAGACATTTTTGTGGAGCATCCATTATTACCACGAGGGTCATTCTAACAGCTGCACATTGTGTGGACAGGTATAAGATATTAATATATACTTGATAGACCCACGCTGACAGAATACCAGGTTAAAGCTAATACACGTGGTAGAAAAATGCTTCAGCCATATTATAGTTGTATCGGAAATGGGTCGACTCGACCGGAGTAGGAACATGAGGAAGGACCACGCCCTCACATAAATACCAGCGTAAAACAGCAGTTTCAACATGCTGTGTTTTCTATGATTATTGTAGAGAACCGGAGATCCCTTTTAGAGGCATTCCATTTTCTCAACGACTGAAATACGCTTGCGTTTTAGATTCTTAACTGACTATAAATGTAGGCCACAGCATTCACTTACCATAACGCGAACTGTGTATTTGTTGATTACCCTAGGTTGTATAAATATAATTTAAAAAATTTTTTTTTGGATTGTCTATAGGCTAATGGTGACGTAAGACACCCTAAAATCACATTATCCTTTTGCTTAGCGCACTACTTACTTAGGCGCAATAGCCATCTTAATGGGAAGTACCCACACTTTTACATTCAAATGATGCAGATAACGAAAACGGTGATTTGTGTCAATCTATGGAGTAGACCTTCATCCAGCAGTAGACTTGTGGTGGGCTGGGATAGGGAAATTATCAATCTACATCGAGCGAAAATGCCGAATTTTCACTCGATGTAGAATTCGATTAAAATCTTATATATCGAAAATTCGATTAAATCTAGGCCTTGTTGAGCAGTGGACTGATGAGTTACGTGATGATAACGAGGAAGATAATGCATGACTTAATTTCTTTCTCTCCATTCCACTATTGGTTCACAAGACGCTCGGCTGGTCTTCCTACCCCTTTGTTATCGATATACCGTACATTCGTACCAAACGGTTTGCTTCGTCCTTCATAGTACGCACAGCAAATGAGTGAAATAATTTGCAATCACTGTCTTTCCATCCGATTATAATGTCAGTGTCTTCAAGGCAAGAGTGAATAGGTTTTTGTTAAGCTAAGTCAGTACGCTTCACCATCTTCGGCTGCATCATCACTTACCGCCAGGTGGGATATTAGTCAGGCACTGTGTGTCGTTTGTAAGCCACACACTTTTAAGAAGTAGAGTTGTAGTTAGTTGATGAGCACGTCAAAATGAAAAGATCACCAAAGTTAAAAGTTTAATTAAAAAGTAAAATAGTTATAAAGTTAGAGTGGCAAATCTTTTCTTGAGTAGTTGGTGTTTAGAAAGTATGGATTGTCAGTTTGCAATTAAAAAAGTAACTTTAAATACACATGACGCACGGCTAAAAGTAGGTTGCAACGTTTACTAAATAAAAATGTGTGGTGTAACCATACACACTGACTTATAATAGTAGCAACTCATCACCATCAGCTAATTTCTTGTTCACATTGCAGAATGAAACCTCACTACCTAATAGCGGTTGTAGGCACTAACCAATTGAACTCAGGTGGTACATTATACCCTATACGGAAAATTGTTCGTCACGAGGACTATGATAATCAGGTCATCAAGAATGATATAGCTTTAGTATTTACACTGATGGAAATACGATTTGGGCCGAATGTCGACGCGATAGAATTGAACAATGAACCGGTAATGCCCGGGGAGAAGCTGCTCCTCACTGGTTGGGGGACCACGTCTGTAAGTGTTTTCTCACATTTTTTTAGATGGTTTATAATATTTTCTTTCTTTTTATTAAAACTTACTTTAGTCCTACCGTAAAAATATCTCGGCATGAAGACTTTTTCCAAACATAAATTACACATAAAACTGTTTATATATAGTTTTATTCTCCTCGTAAAATATTTTTAACATACGACCATTGTCTGTTATATTTTTTATTTTTAAAGAAAATTATGATACCATCAAAAACATAACTTGTAAAAAACCAAGTCTCGCAACTCAGTTCTTCTACCGTAAAAAGTTGTGAGATCCATATAATACCAAGTCGGTTAATTTATTCAGTCCCTACTTAAGGGTCCTTCTGTTTTAAGTTATTAAATAACTAGCTAACCTAACAACATTTTATAGTGACCATATCAATGTTAAAATTTTTGTTTGTCTTAAATACATAGATTGACTTGGTTTTTTTACAAGTTATGTTTTTGATGGTATTTCATTTCTTTTTGTAGATAAGATAGTCCTACTTTTTCCTTTCCGGTACCTTCTCCTTCTTGAATACCAACAACGTACCTATCTACACCTATTATACATACAAGTACACTGATTCATTCACTGCAAATGTAACTTTGTAATTCTATATATTTATATGATATTACAAAGTTATTTATGCAGTTGGTGTATCTGGAAAACTGGACCAAAATTAAAAAATATTTTAGTTTCTCCTTGATTTATATACTAAACCCTAATTGCATTCTAAATTTGAAGCTTCTATGTCTGCTAGAAGTGCCTTAGAGTTTTGATGATCGGTCAGTCAGTGAGTGACAAAATTAAGAAACTTTGACTAGTTATTAACTCCTAAACTACTGGTTTAAATTGAAAGAAATTTGAAATATACCATGTTTATACAATGCCTGCTCGGTTACTGAAATTCAGTCTTTTAGTTGTATCCAATACGAAGTTATATGGGGTCGAAAATGGCCTGAATTGCTTCGAGAAAAGTATAGTACGGCCGTGCCGCTTTTTTGCTCGACTTGGCGGGGGCACTGCCGTGCCCCTAAAACACCTGAGAGCTTTTACTTATAATTTGAGGGATTAATTATTGTTGCTCAAAATTTTCTTACAGGCGCTCATATTATTTCTATTTTACAATGTAACCATTAATGTAGGTGTCATTCAATTATGCTTAATTCGTAATTTAAATCATATATGTTATATTAATGATGATATTTAACGAAAATCATGTTCATACACTAATAATGAGTTTGACTGATATGCATACATCATACATAATATAAATAATAGAAAAATACTAGTCGGTTGCAGATCATATAGTTTATAACCGATTTCACAAAAATATGGTATAGTTCTCGATTACTGTGTATGCTATTTTGTTTGTTTGTTACGCTATATGTTTGTTAAATAAAAAAAAGATTGCCTCGTTGGTCTAGTGGTTGTAGAAATGCGACTGCTGATCTGACTGACTGGGTTCGAATCCCGGGTCGAGCCAAAAAAATCAATTAAGTATTGAGTTTTACTGTCAAGAAATTCTCAGTTGGCGGTGTCTCACCCACGTGCCTCGGAAAGCACGTAAAGCCGTTGGTGCTGCGCCTGATCTCTCTCCGGTCGCGTCGGTTTACCGTCTCATCGGATTATGAGAATGAGGGAATAGAGAGTGCACCTGTGCTTGCGTATACACTTGGGCACTATAATCCTGTCCTGCGCCGAAGGCTAGCCTCCGTTGAGGCAGGCCGCCGTGACCGAAATTTGGTTTGGAAGACATTACATTACATCTTTGTCAATTAAGAACTTTCTCTTTTCATAATAACTTTTACTCTACTGGTGTAATATAGGGTCCAAAATAGGGGATGAAGTTTTTAATGGAACAACATTTTATTTAAAAGTATAAGCCGAGTTAGAAGAACTGAAAAGAATGAAATAATTTCACATTATTTTCACATTAGGTCGTGATTTTAATTATTCTGCACTGACTTTATAATTTAGAAAGTGAAGTTATCTTATTCTGAAAGAAATCGAATCATTACTTGTTATTAAGTTTTTTTTGACGAACTACACTTACTGCCACGTAAATACACTTTTTCCCAAGCTTTTTGCACCCTGATGTATAAAACTATAAGGATTATCACGCTAAACTGATAAAGGCTATAAGGTTATAGTTATTAATCAAACTAGGTATGTCTTACAGAAGATAACGCCCTCACCGTATCATAAACAGTACTACAAATCAAATGACTTTATAATAAAATGGCTAAAACCTTAATAATTTAGTCTATATATAAATATATTTGTTGCCCAGTGAGGCTTTAAAATTTAAGAATAAAACTTAATTTGTTGCAAAATAAGTTGTAATTGATAAATCGTTTTATTATAGTATGAAATAATTATGGTTTTATCATTAATTTTATCAACTACACTCGAGATCTATTATTTTTAATTTAATCCTTAAATTACTAATGCAAAAAATATTTATATTTAATAATTTTGTTAAAGCTAACACCTACTGTTATGGGTTAAATGCTTACTTATATTTTATTTGGGCAATTAGTTATTATGTTTGTAATAAAACCGTAATAAAACAGATATGTTACTAATTTAAATATTTTCGCCATGTAGTGCCGTAGTACCGTAGTATCCCACACCATTCCATGGGACAGAGTAAAAGTCAAAGAGATAGGCGCAGCACCGTCCATTATTTAACAAATTTATATTGACCTACTCCGCTCATATAATATTTTTATTTTTAACCGATTTCAAAAAGGAGGAGGTACTCAAATCGGTTGTATGTTATTTTAATGTATTTTACCTCAGAACTTTTTTCCGGGAGAACCAATTTTGATGATTCTTTTTTATTTGTAAGCTGGTGCTTCTCGTGTAGTTCCATATAAATTTGATCAAGATCTGAGCAGAAGTTTTTGAGTTATCCTTAATTATGTGTATTTAATTGACTTCGAATACATTGATGATGTCCTCATTTTATTTATATTGAAGTGACAATTTTTTTAATTTTACCTCTTGTATATTGTACAATAAACCATTTTAATAAACAAAATTTTGATAATGTTTACTTAATTGTTTTGATATTTGATACAGACAGAAAAGAATTTCATATTTTTCCTATTTCAGTACCCAGGTAAGGCGCCAAATGATCTAATGAGGTTGGAACTCAACGCGGTGTCTTTTGAAGATTGCCAAGAGGCACATAAGGATATCAATCAGGTGTTTGAGACGCAGATATGTGCACTGACTAAAGAGGGGGAAGGAGCTTGTCATGTGAGCTATTTTTCAGTTCAAATGAAAAAAAAAAGTTTTCAGTAAATTTACCAATTTACTGAAAACTCTATATCTTTTTAATAACTACCCCCAAATTGCGATTAGATTTTTCGAGTGTGTCACGATTGTTGATCGAATCGAGTCGAGAGGTGTGAACTCGAATCCCGGGTATGACAAAAATTAGTTATTGAGTACTCTATTGTGAAAAATCAAAATGTGTCGAAAAAGGCACGTATGGCAATTCACAATGCTGTGTTGGTCCCCACTTTAACGTATGGTAGTGAAAGTTGGGTGTGGCAGAAGAAGCACGAGAGTAGAATAAATGCAGTAGAAATGCGGTCGTTAAGGAGTATGTTAGGGCTGAATCTGAATGACAGGGTAAGAAATTGTGTGATAAGAGAAGAGTGTGGTTTGCAAGATGATGTTGTGACCAGGATTAAGAAAGGAATGCTTCGGTGGTTTTGGTCATGTGGAAAGAATTAATGAGAAAAGAGTGACAAAGAAAATTTATGTTGCAGAAGTGAATGGCAGAATCGGAAAGGGCCGTCCTAGGCAAAAATTTATCGACCAAATTGGCGATTTATTGAAAACGGGCCAAATTAGGAGTACCCTTAACCGACGAGCATGTACGCGTAGGTATATGGATGTGAAGGAGGCGAGAGAAGTGTGTCAGGATCGTGTCATTAGTATTGTATCATTAATAGTGAGAAGTCTGTAGTCTCTGCCTACCCTCTGGGTGACAGGCGTGAGTGTTTATGTATGTATGTAGTTATTGAGTTATTCTGTTAAGAAATTCTCAGAAACAGACCGGAGTAAGAAAGTTTGCGGACCCGGACCTAATCTCTCTCCGGTCGTGTCGGATTAATGTCATATCAGGCTATGAGAGTGAGGAAAAAACAGTGCACCTGTGCTGACGCAACCAGTTGTGCACTATAATCATATCCTGCGCAGGCCAGTCTCCGTTAAAACTGGCCGCCGCTACCGTTTTGAAGGACATTATGATTATAATATGAAAAAATAATAATATATATGGTGCTTGCTCGAACCATATTCCAACGGACGTGCCATTGTATAACTTAATTACAAATCACTGCAGTCGGATATTTTTCTATAAAAAAAAATATCAACATATCCCCATACACACTGTAACGTTTAGTTACCGGTAAAGACGACTGATTGCAGATGTATTCTTCGTCAGTTATTTTGATTCTCGGCTTCACGCATGCAGTTGTGACGGCAACTTGTTTGCTTGTGAACTACACAAGACTTATTATTATTAAACTCAACTCTACATGTTGTTGATTCAAAAAAACCATGAAAGAACGAAATTAGTCCACTAACATTAGTTCCAGTTACTACCTTACGCTATTAACACAAGTATTACCTGCAAGTGAAAAAGTTTCACAGAAAGATAAACAGATGGTGTAAATGGGTGGTGACAGTCACTTTTTTTATAGGATAGGGTGACAAACGAGCGCACAGTCCACCTGATGGTAAGTGGTTGCTGTGGCCCATAAACATTTACATCTATCCTCGTTACGAATCAAAATGCAGATGCGTTGTCACCGGTGAGGACTAAGATGGAATGCCTCGTTTTCAGTAAAAAGATTCTCCAGATCCCTACACTCATCATACGAAACACAGCAGCATTAAGCTACTATGTTACCCTGGTAATCTGTGCGAGCATGGTCTTTCCCCGGTCTGTCCTCCTCCGACTTCAGATTTCCATGTTTTCCTCCACCGCCGAGCTCGCGGTCAATCACCACTTAAAATTGCAGTTATCAAAATCACTATGCCGGCAGGAATCGTACCCGGGTTGATTGCGTATTAAAACTTACAGCGAGCGCTTGGTCCCAGAGCTAATTTTTCCTATTTAATTGAAAAAAAAGGTTTGAGGCAAATAACTTAAGAAAAGGAAAAATAAAAAAAACACACAAGATCCTAGATCTGTTCGTAATAATATATTGTTGCAATTTGAAAACTATAACACATGACGTTATCTTCCAGGGTGATTCTGGCGGGCCCTTGGTGAGGGAAGGCCGGCAAGTGGGCGTCGTTTCCTGGGGCTTACCGTGCGCCAAAGGAAAGCCAGATGTTTACACTAAGGTAATGTTAGGCTGGTTAGTGGCTAAAGTATACTAAGGTAGGCCGTGTAGTGACTAAGGTAACATTTACCTTTATGTGATATAAAACCATGTAGTGGTTAAGTTAACGTTTACACTTTACACTAATGTAATATTAGTCTAACTCTAACGTAACGTTTACACTGAGGTAATATTAGTCCGTATGGTAACTAAGGAAATGTTTACACTAAGGTAATATTAGGCCGTGTAGTAGCTAACGTAATGTTTACACTAAGGTGATATGAGGTCGTATAGTGGCTAAAGTAATGTCTACACTAAAGTAATAGTAGGTCGTATGGTGCTAAGGTAACGTCACGGTAATATTATCTTTAAAAATTACCGTGGTAACGTTTACCTTAATGTTAATACAAAACCGTGTAGTGGTTAAGTTAACGTTTACACTTTACACCAATGTAATAGCAGGCCGTGTAGTGTCTAAGGTAACGTTTACACTAAGATGATATTAGATCGTATAGTGGTTAAAGTAATGTTGGCACTAAAGTAATAAATAGTACACCGTATGGTGGCGGCATAAGAGTACCCATTGAAATAATACTAGTTTTTACGGATTTTATCGCGTATATTTAACTATAAATACCCGACGTTTCGAGCGCTTTACAGCACCCATGGTCACGAGGGGAACTGAGATATTCAACGTCCAAATGTCATAGTTAACAGCGGTTACCATAGATAAAAATTTTAACTTTTATTCCGATCTACACAGTATAAACTTATGGTATCTTGAAGTCTTGCAGTTGTATGCTTGGGTTGGGATTTAATTTTATTTATTATAGGATCCCAAGCAGATGGTAGCACCCAGCTATCTTCTCTATTGAAATTAGGATGTTTTTTGATTTCAATAGCCTCGCGAATCATCCTTGAAAGGAATCAGGGTTCTTTAGCGAGGATTTGTGGTCTATCAAATCTGATGTAGTGAAAGGGGCGATCCTGTACGTGTTCACAGACTGCAGATTTCCCGGAGCGTCGATTCTTCACATCAGCTATATGTTCTTTAACGCGGGTTTTAATTGATCTTTTAGTTTGTCCCATGTAGGAGAGACCACACTCACAATCAAGCTTGTACACTCCTGCATCTTGCAGAGGGACGTTACACTTGACTGATGGTAAAAACGGACCAATCTTCTTCGGCGGCTTGAAGTATGTTTTGATGGAAGCGCGCTTCAAGATGTAGCCAATCTTGTCAGTGACTCCTCTAACATATGGCAGTACAGCAGGTACACGCTCGACTGTGGCCGGCTTCACTCGTTCACTGTGACGTAGGCACGGGACCCGAAGCTTGTTGTCATGCAAAACTTGCTTGACATGGTGGAGCTCGGCAGCCAGGTGTTTACTGTCACAGATCCCTCGTGCTCTCGGAAACAAATATTTACCCACGGTAGCTAACTGTGAAGGATGGTGGTGAGAATCGCCGTTTAAATATCTATCTGTATGGGTCTTTTTTCTATACACAGTATGGCTCAAGGTGTTATCAGGATTCCGAATTACTAACACATCTAGAAAAGCTAAGGAATTGTTTGCCTCTAACTCCATTGAGAACTGAATTTTAGAATTTATAGAGTTGAGATGGTAAAAAAATGCAGTTACTTTATCTAAAGGTAGAATTGTGAATTGAAATCAAAAAAACATCCTAAATTCAATAGAGAAGATGGCTGGGTGCTACCATCTGCTTGGGATCCTATAATAAATAAAATTAAATCCCAACCCAAGCATACAACTGCAAGACTTCAAGATACCATAAGTTCATACTGTGTAGATCGGAACAAAAGTTAAATTTTTATCTATGGTAACCGCTGTTAACTATTGTTAACTAAACATTTTGACGTTGAACATCTCAGTCCCTCCCCCCCCCCCCCCCGTGACCTGGGTGCTGTAAAGCGCTCGAAACGTCGGGTATTTGTAGTTAAATATACGCGATAAAATCCTTAAAAACTAGTATTATTTCAATGTGTAGTGTTCGCGTAAATATAAGAGTACCCATTACTCAAGTTAGACTTTGGGAAATGCCAAAACATCGTATAGTTTACGACAGATCTCATCTTGTTGACACCAGACGTAAAATATTCAGACCGGCGACGGACTACAGAACTTTGATTATAGATCCGCCTTCCGATCCTGACGATTAAGGCACATCCTCCCTGCATCAGTTCATAATCCATATGAGATGATGACCTATTGCAGGGATATCGCATAAGGATACGAAGGGATATTTTCGAGGGTGATTGTCTGAGTATAATTCGGTTCTGCCGCTCTCTGAATCCCCTCAGTACCTTACAGGAGAGCTCCGGGAGGGGATTTAGCTTCGGAAGGGAGGGACAAAATAACCCACGTTTTCTATATGTATTATGAGATGCCCACGTCCAGGAGTGGACTATTACGACTACTTACTACTACGACTTACTACTATAATAAAAAGAATATATATATCTTAATATATATAAATTACGTGTCACGTTGTTTGTCCGCGATGGACACCTAAACTACTTAACCGATTTTAGTCTTTCTGTCCATGAGTGACACACAAATTTTTTTTGCGAATTTTAGGATTTTTAATAGAATACGACAAAGGGTCGTCGAAAAGAGCAGAACAACGTCTGCCTGGCAAGCTATATATATATATATATTCTTTTTCTTTATTGTAGTAAGTACGTACTGAAAAATTTATATACATATGTATATATAATAAAGACGATGATTATATATGTTGAGTCCTGATAGCTCAAGAGGCCACGGTGTAAATTAAACAATCCGTGATCATCGTGACTATTTTTAGTTCCACACTGTTTGCCACAATTTAATTTTCATCATCATAATTACAGCCTATCTGCACATAGGCCTCCCCACAAATTGGCTAATGTGTTCCGTATGGTAAGTGTAGAGAACCGGAGACCTTTTTACCGGATACAAGGCATTCCAACTTATATACTTATATATGTATGTTCGTTTGTGACACTTATTCTAAAAAAAAATCTTTGCCATAGCTGCCACGCCTAGCAAGTGTTTATTTTTGTTGTTATCAAGAAGACTGTTGGTTTCCTTCTATCGCCTCTTACTACACCCACGGGAACTTATAGGGTAGTAGATATTCTTACGCCGCCATTACACGGTTAAAAGAAAGCAAACAAAAGATAATATTTAAATTCAAGACAGAGTCGAGAAAGGATGTGGACAATTTGCTAGTGACTTTGTAGGCGACACATCTCTCACTGCACGTGCTGAGTGTATGTCGATGCTTTCATTAATAATTTCCATACGTAATTCGAACGGCGGTCCGATGTGCGAATGTAATATTTATTCTAGTCTAGCAATGGGCTCCGGCTTCGCCTGTATAGAATAAATTTATTAAGAGGATACCTTGAAAATTGATCGAAGTTTTGGGAGCGTGGCTTATTCCTTTGTCGGTAAAGCTAACGGAAGACTGCGGGACTGTCAAAATGAAAGTCATGCAATGACTTCATAGTAGGTACGCAAATTATAAGATAGCCATAGCGAGCAAGCGCTCGGAAAAAAACGAAGTAAGCGCCAAACAACATTTTTATTTATTTTAACAAAACTTCGTTATGGATTAAAAAAACTGGTTTATGAAAACTTAGATAGTGTTGCGCGAATAAGTCGACGTCATGTATCTGGCACTAGCGCCATCTAGTGTCAGGGACGAGAGCGAGGGGAGCTTTCCAGAAAATGACATCACTAATCTTTCAACCGACAGCGCCATCTAGTCTCGGAACGAAGAACTAAGCTTCTAGAAGTCGACACTCGAACTCTCGGCCCCTTGCGCGTGTTTACTTGAATATTCGGTATGTTTCGGTGCTAATTTGTATTTACAGGCGCTGCAAGATGCGATCGGGTAAGTATTGAATTCGGCGAGACAAGCGAAGTTTCGGAGCGGAATAAAGTGAATTAGTGTGCTTAATTATTAGTGTTTTAAGTCTTAATTTGTGTAAAGAAAATTAAAGTGTTAATTTAGGTAATTCTATCGGCAATTTTTATCGTCACGAACCTCAAGCTCGTAAAAATTGGTGTCAGAAGTGGGATTAAATCATGCCGGTTTTACCTAAGGAGGAAACGGAGGCTGTCCGTACCCGAAGTCAACGCCAGCAGGAGACGGACCAAAGAAGATTTGGTGGTGCAACGCCGCAGACGTCGGAGGGCCAGCCACTGGCTGCAGGTCCGTCAGTAGCTCCTACATCTGCAGCACCCGACTCAGGTGATCTGATGGTGATGCTGTAGGAACAGGCCCGCCGACAGGAGAAACAGGTCCGCCGACAGGAGGATCAGGTCCGTCGGTTGGAAGAGCAGCTGCTCCTCATGAAGGACCTTCACGCTACCTTCATAAAAGAGATACGGGAGGTGAAAGATAAGGTTGCTCAACATGACAACCGCCTGTCGGAAGCTGAAACCCGAATCGACCAAGTAAACAATCGAGTTGACAACGTAATGGCTGACATGAAGAAATCACTGGACGAACTCAAACTTGGAGATGGAACTTCAGCTCCCGTAGTAGCTACAACACCTTCGCTACGTGGGTTCAAGGTGCCACCGTTCGACGGGACTTCTTCCTGGTCGGCCTACAAAATCCAGTTCGGGGCCGTCATAGAGGCGAACGGCTGGAATAAAAGCCAGGCCATGATTGCACCCACCCTAGGCCTGCGCGACCAAGCCTTAACTGTGTTGGAAGCTCTCGGTAAGAAAGTGACCTACGAGCAGCTCCTTGAGGCATTGGAGGCGAGGTATGGCGACGCTCACCTGGAACACGTCTTTCGTGCGCAGCTTAAAGATCGCGTACAGCGCATCAACGAAAACATGCAGCAGTGGGCTCTAGAAGTGGAGAAGCTGGTGCGAAAAGCATACCTGTCTGTACCTGCGCTCATTGAAGGGAACCTGGTGCAGACATTCATCGACGGCATCCGCGACCTGGAAGTCAGAGCTGCTGTGAGGCTCGGGCACCACGAGACGCTTAAGGACGCCTTGGCCCAAGTACTAGAGGTGGAAGCAGTGCGG